TGCATGGCGATTTTCTTCAACCCTTCTCATCAGAAGATGCTCCTGTTGAGGTGTTAATTTCCATAGACGGCCTGGACATCTCTGCGAGATGGTTGCAGTTCCATCTTTGTTACATTTTTGTATCACTTTTGCTACAGTATTCTGGCTGATAAGTAAAGCTTTGCTGATCTTCTTGTAGCCTTCACCTTTCTTGTGTAAAGAAAGTATTTTCTTTCTCAAAAAACATAAAAAAAAACAAATTAACAGCGCTAATACTTATGTTAAGGTGAATTTGCATATAGTAAATTTCATACAGTGAAATAAAAGTGAAAGAAACAAATAAATAATAAAATAAAAAAAATGAAAGTGTCCATGTGAAACATAAATTACAAATCATTATTGCAATTAAAGTCCCTTCTTTTCCAAAACTAAGTATACATAAAGTGCCAAGTGCGATCACAACCTTACCATTGCAGGTGACCATAGACTTTTTGTTTCCTGCATATCCAGTTTTTGGTAAAGGTGAACTAACCAATTAGACAATCATCGTAATCTTCACAACAATAATTAGACCTTATAGACCTCAAATATAGTGCTCAGGCCTGCATACATGTTCCATCAGTCACCCTTTCCCCAACAACATATAACAATGACCTATTAAAACTTAGGTCTGCTCTGTGGCCTATAAATGCCTATATACATCTCTGAGTATTTTAAACACATAAAGTAACTTATTTGTAAGAATTACCTAGTACACATTATCCAAAATGGAGGAAAATCCCAATACGAACATATGAGCCTTGTAAGGTGCATCATAAGCTTTTGGAACAGGTGTCCCAGTTATATACTGCTGTAAATTGTTCGGTAAAAAATCTTTCAACACCAATGAAAATTTATGTATAGATTACCGGTAAATTCCTTACTGTATTTTCCGCATGGATATCCGATATATAGTTCCAGAAGGAAATAGCATAATCCAAGACCACTGCAACTGTTTCAGTGTCTCAGATACAATCATATTCCAGCAATTATCTGTATAAACAGTGTCAACTTTAGAAGCCTTTAGAAGCTGATAATGGTATCAGCAAACCGAATTCACTGAAAACAAGACTTTAAGAGCTGGCAATGTCATCAAATTGAGTTCACTAATAGCGTGAGAGCTGGAAGAGGTTGCAGCAATATCCAGGGTATAGAGTATATAAATCTGTGCAAGTCATAGACACATTTAAACCTGTTTCAACATTTGGCTGAATCCACAGATCAATGTATAGAATGTCCTTGACTTGTAAAGGCCTGTAGTAGAACTGTTGTTGTGATGGAAGGGTAGAGATAAAGTTTACTTTGTTGTGGTTGTGTAAAAATTATAACCTAAGTGGCTCAATTCTAGTGTAAAAAGGATGGAAATAAAGCTGACTAAAAAAAACAAAAAACATTCTCAGCATTTCAGAGCTGCAAGATATGCAGCAAGAGATGTAAAATGACAAGCAGGGCAGCTAAAATAGAAATCAAAATACATATAGCCACATATAGCCATATAGTAGGTAATCTTTAAATATATCAATATTAAAAGGGTAAGGAGAGGAAAAGTATGCCCCATAAAAGATAAACATAATAAGTTAGTCACAAGTGATAAGGAGGAGGCAGATGTAACAACACTTTTGTCTTCAGTTTACACAAATGAAAAAGATGGGTTTGATAGTCAGTACAATAATGCCAATAATGTTGTACGTATGCTACCTCTGTGGCTGACAGAAATCCAGATTCAAAACATATTAGACAAACTTAATGTGAATAAATTGCCAGGAACAGATGGCTTACACCCTTGAGTCCTCAAAGAGCTTAGCTCTGTTATAGCGAGACTTTGTTTCTAATTTTAAGGACACTTTAGTGATTTGAATGGTACCAACTAATTGTCATAAAGCAAATGTGCTACAATTATTAAAAAAAGGGATGAGATGTATGCTAGGAAACTACAGACTAGTTAGCCTAACACCAATAGTGTGTAAAATATTTGTGGAGCTGATAAGGGGTCTTATTCAAGAATGTGTTACCAATAATGGTATATTAAAGTGTTACTAAACCCACAACATTAAAATCAGTCTGTATATGCAGTAAAGCATGCTTGTTATACTCACTGTGGAACCTAAGGGTTAATCCTCTGCATTGTGTAAAAAGGTCATTTGATCCTGTTTTCTCTGCCCCTCCTCTTATTCAAATATCACTTGATAAGACAGACTGAACCTGTAGCTACATGCACAGTTTAGTGTGCATTGCTAGAGGGGTTTTTTTTTTCTTGGGAGAGTGTATGTGATCAGCACAGGGCCAATCTGTACATACTGTCCAGACAGAGGGTCAGGGGTTTTGCATCCTGCTAGAGCAGAAAGAAAACTCCTACAAGCTTTAACCAATGCTCTGCTGAAGTCACAAGACTGCTCTAACTGCTGATGTGAAAAGGTATTTAGCAGTTTTTATATTTACTAAAATAATTGTACTTTCATGTTCTGTGTACTGTGGGAGACCAGATATAGTGAATGCAGGGTCCTGGGTTAAGTTACACTTTAAATTACCACCAACAAGGATTTATGAAAAACTATTTTTGTGAGACCAAGTTGTTAATATTCTATGAGAAAGTGAGTAGGAATTTAGAAGAATGCCAGTGGATGATGTAAATCTGGACTTTGCTAAATCCAGGCATATTCAGCTGGTTCAGCTGGTAGTGGCCAAATTTTGATCCATATATGGGGACAGTGGTTGTTCAGAAGTTGATCTGCCAATCGACTTCTGTACAGATAAATGTTGCTCAGTCAGTCACAATAAAGTCTCTTAGTCTTCAGAACACAATAACTCAGACAGAGTGATTCTCTCATATACATTGAATGTGTGAATGGGAGAATTGGGCTGGTTTTTTTTCCTTCAACCCATTCATTCGACAAAAAAATCAATCATATATGGGCTGCTTGAGGCATTTGATGCTGTACCTCATAAATATTTAATTTACAAAACACAATCTATCGGTGTAGAAGAAATTGTATGTACTGTATATAGATAGAAAATTAGTTACAGGAATGTGTCCAGATGGTAGTGATAAATGGGACATTCTCTAAAAGGGCTAAAGTTGGGATTGGTGTGTCTCAGGGCTCTGTCAAGAGGCCAATGCTGTTTAAATTCTTTATTAATGATATTTGGGTTGCAAATAAGAGTTCAATTTCAGGGTTTGCTGATGATACCAAATTATGCGGGGAACAAAAATTGGCACATGATGTATCATCATTACAGGAAGACCCAGATAAAACAGAGGGAGGGAAACTACATGGCACATGAGGTTCAATATTGAAAAATGTAAAGCTATGCACTGTTGGTGCTAAAATTATGCAAGCAACATACTTTATGGGAGGGGCTTTTCTGGGTGAATTTGAGATAGAAAACAATTTTGGGGTCCTTGTAGAACAACAGCATAAAATGCCAATCTGCGGCTTACAAAGCTAGCATAAAACTCCCTTGTAATGAACTTTTCAATCTTTTGATTGGTTGCTGTGGATCATTGTACCTCATTGTCCTTTGTACAGAAGGTTAAAGTAGAAGAGCTATATAAGAAAGAGAGAACAATACACAGGACTTTTTTACTTCTTTGCTGATCATATTCAAAGTAGAAAAAAAAAAGGCCACTGCCTCTGATTGACAGCATATAGTGGGAGACTGTATTCATTTTGTTTTAATATCTACAAAGGTGCCTAGGAAAGCATGAAAATGAAAGCCCCATTTCTTTTTAAGTCCAACCTTCTGCTGCAGAGAATTGAGCCACATAATGACCCATGAGGCTGGATGATGTACCCCCAGGGGGTGGGTTCTTGAAATGTTGGGTGTCATTCAATATGGACTGGCTGGATTGCAAAGAGGTGAATCTTTTTGGGTGACGCTGCAAAAGATGTGAGTAATTCAGAGAAAAATGTTTTTTGTATTTCCTGTCCTGAATTACTAGGAAGTAGATTAACCCCTTTGTGTTTTAAATACGACTTTATAAGTCCAAAGGTAAAATGCCCTGTGCCATAAGAATTAACTGTTAATTAACCTTGTATCAGACTTGGCCTGGACATCTATGCTTAAAAAAAAAACAACTTTGGTTATAAATTGGTTAAAACATTTGGAATTTGACTTTAAAGAGAAACTATCTACGGGAAAGTAGTAAAAAACAGTTTCAGAATTTTACACTCCCAAACAAATATCCTTGTGCACTTTATGATGTTAAGCAGCCACGCAGTAGTAAGCAGCTACACTATACAGTGTTTAATATCAAAAAGAAATTAAACCAACAAACAAGTTTTTGGGTTTTTAATAATGCTAAGCACTGGAACTTCAGCAAGCCATATACTGAAGAGGAATATCGTGTTACATGTTCTGAGGGGATGCTTGAATCCTCCATGGGTCTAGCTGCAGGTATTTACATTGTAAACTGAGTAACACTTCATATTTTGTGACACTAATTACACTAACTGCTTTGTAACTACAAAGAAACTGGAATTCCTATTTTAAATTAATGACCTTTGAATCCACAAGAAAGTAGTCACTTAAGATGTTTTCCAAGGCGGCCCCAGTGCCTAAGAGAGACATTTATGTGACTTATGTGTAATTACTGTATTTTACCAATATGATTTTCCCCATCTTAGGCCATATAATGAGGCTGTAAAGTGGTAATATTAGCCAGTGTTTTCTTTCTAACTGGCCAGACTCAGAACTTGCTCAAAGGGAAACTGTCACCAACAAAAGATCTCTTGAAAATGCAGCAGTTCACTAATTAAAATAGCATATTTTCATTGATTCCTTCAGTGTCTGGATTGATGTTATAATGTAATAAAAATTCACTCTCCCAGGCTTCCAGGCATATAATAGTCTGGAGAGCTCCAATTCTATACAACTGTCTTTAAAAATGGTGCAGATTTAAAGGACCAATCCATCTAAAAGTGAAGTTTTGTTATAGTTGAAGCATTGTGGGCTGTGTCAGTGCCCTTTTATGTCTGGTACAGACAACTCATGGGGCCCCCGGGCAATAGGGGATCATGGGGCCCCTGTGTGTCCTTGCCCAAACTCAAAAAAGCCTATGAAAAAGGTACCAGGGACATCTCATGGAGCCCCCTACTGACCCTGGGCCCTCAGGCAGTGCCCGAGTTTCCAAATGGTCAGTCCGCCTCTGGTCTGGAATAATCCGCAAGATCCACAAGGGAGATCCACAAGATCTCCCTTTCATAATTCCTAACTCTGTTCTTCTCTACCTGGGAGTTTTGGGTTTTCTCTCCCACATCTTGTGTTGCAATATCTTCTGTTGCATTCTCCATAGCATACAATAAAGAAAGAAATCCAGTACAGAAAGTGGGGACTCCTTATAATGGCCACAGTAGGTATGCAGACCTAAGAACTCAAGATATGTCACCAATAGAAGCCCTGAGAGACATAAGAAATTGTCAGTTGGTTTATCTTTTCATGATCTGTCAAAAGCTGGAATGTCAGTTTTGTGGGTGAACTGACCCTTTTCTATTAGGGCTCTTTCACACTGGCAGATGAGCCGCAGTTTTGCCATCCCCCGACTGCCCACTGGATCTCTGACAATACAGACTGACAGGCTTTGCTTCATGGCCACAACTATTTTAACTCAAGATGCAAAGGTTAACAGGCAGCACCACCTGTTGAGCTCGCCCATTGAGATCAATAGAGCCACAACGCAAACCGTGAGGCAAATGCGGTCATGCTATGTAAAATTGCTGTTCGGCAAAAAAAAATCAGGCACCAAAAAGGCAGCAGCAGTGGCTCCTGAACACCTGCCAGATGCTGCTATACCACCCCTTTGGAAAGCAATCCACCACAAATTGTTTTTCATAGGACAATAGGCATTACCACTTGTCTGAGAGAGCCCTTAAAGTGTCATTATTATTCTACAGGATTTATAAAGCGCCAACAGTTTGCGCAGTGCTTTACAACATAAGGACAGACAGTACAATTACAATACAAATAATACAGGAGGATTCAGAGGGTCCTGCTCGTTAGAGCTTACAATCTAAGAGGGAGTGCCATTAAACACAAACATTTGTTCTGCCATACTAAACATACTAAAATGGAGGAAATCAGAGAATTTCATTGTTGGGGTTTATATGCACTTTAAAAGGATAGTGTGCATTCACCAAAGAACTGCCTATGCAGGTGAAGGGCATCTGTGGATAAAAACAAACTGTGTGTCTCTGACTAAAGTTGAACAGTGTCCTTGCTATAGGTGTAGACCATTTATGTACCTAATGAAGCCTGATTGGAATACTCCAAGGAAGTTGCTAAGTACTTCCAGGACGTTGCTAAGTGAGGCATAGTCATTTACCGCTCACCCCCACCATCACAGAAGTGAGCTTTTTCTCTGATTCAGACCCCTTCACATGCTCTCTCTCCCCTGATGTAGTAGATCTGAGCTTAGCATCTGAGAGCTCACTCCTATGATGGAGAAGGTGAGCAGTAACATATAGGCCTCACTTAGCAATGTCCTGGGGGCAGGGGCGGACTGACAACTCATGGGGCCCCCAGGCAATAGGGGATCATGGGGCCCCTGTGTCCTTGCCCAAACTCAAAAATGCCTATGAAAAAGGTACCAGGGGCATCTCATGGGGCCCCCTACTGACCTCGGGCCCTCGGGCAGTGCCCGAGTTTCCAAATGGTCCAAATGTATTCCAGTCAGGCTCCATGAGGCATGCAAATGGCCTACACCTATAGCAAGGGCATTATTCAACTTTAGTCAGAGCTGCCCAGTTTGTTTTTTTATCTACAGACACAGCTTACCTGCATAGGCACCAGAGTGCATTTCTTATAACTTCAAAAGACTTAAAGATACTTGACTTTCTCGGCATAGCATATTACTGTCTCAGGAACCCACAGATTCATTGGGAGTTCAAGGTCAGAACATCATCTAACTACAACACTCCTTTGATACATCGTATTACAGTATTTGATCTTCTATGATGGTATTACAACTTACAAATTTTATATATAGCCAATTTACTTGCAAGTAGAATTTCCTACTGTCTTGAAATTTACTCTTCAGAAATCTCAGCCTTTGGTAAATTTCCCTGTAACTTCTCGCAAACCACAAACTGCAAATGTTGATACAGTAGCTAATTATCCTAAATGATCCTCTCCCAAAAGCAACACATGGATATACTCTCACAAGCTAGAAAATTCTGTCCACTGGATAATAATCCAATTTCCTGTTTATTTTCCTTTAATGCCTTTAAAGTTTTCTAATGATTTAAAATTAAGTCATAACGTTTCAATAACAGTATGAGAAAACTGAGCGTTATTGCAGGAAAAATGCATGACACAAGGTTTGATTTATAACATTTTCAGGAAAGGAAGGCTTATGTCTTGTCTCCAGCAGCCAATCAACCTTCCAGCATTTTCAAATACAAATTAGAAAATGAAAATATGTGAATACAAGATGTTTATTTTTAGGTTATTATGTGTTGTATTCTACATTACATTGACATAAGTGTTTGGAGAATTACATTGTGACAAATTTTCACTGAAATGTATGTGACCCCTTTGAGTAATCACAAAGTGTTCGAGGAGCGTACCTACGGGACAGATTTCACTATATGATAGTGATTCCCTTTACATTCAGTAAATTTGTAAGTTAATTAATTCTATAATTAAGATTACATTTTGGCCTAAATTTATGAAGACATCATTTTTTAATTGGATTTGTTTTAAAGCAAAAAAGTAAAAAATATTGTTTTTTGATGTTGACCCTTTCCCAGCCAGTGTCATTAGTACAGTGACAGTGTACAGTATTATCACCAGTGTATTAGTGTCACTATTGATGTCAGTGTCAGTGTACCTCCCAGTGAGAATCAGTTAGTGCCAGATTGCCTTCCACACTATCACAGTCCCACTATAAGTCATTGATCACTGCCATTAACAGTGTAGCATCATAGACGCTATAAACTTTAACACAAACCAATTAATTAATACTTATTTAGATTTTTAGTGCTCTACTGGACACTAATTGAAGTTACAAGACTGCACTAACTGCTGATGAGAAAAGGTATTAAGCAGTTTATATTTTCTAAAATAATTGCATTTCTATGTTCTGTGTACTGTGGGAGACCAGATATAGTGAATGCAGGGCCGTGGTTTTAGTAACACTTTAATGACAAAGGTCTAAATGGACCCTTATTCTATATAATAATTCCTATGGTCAATCGTTTATAGTGTTACTAAACTCTGGTCTCCAATAGTACACAGAACATGGAAATGCAATTATTTTATTAAATATAAACTGCTAAATACCTTTTTCAATCAACAGTACATAGCAGTCTTATGACATCTATCAATGTCCAGCTGAGCACTGGTTAAAGCTTGTAGCAGGTATTTCCATTCTGCTCTGACTGTCCTATGAGGCTGTAGAACCCCTGACCCTCTGTCTGGACAGTGCTGATTGGCCTTGTGCTGAGCACATGCAACCTACCAAAGAAAAAAAACTTTCTAGCCATATACACTAAACTGAGCATGTGCAGAGCAACTCCAATAGCTCTGTACTATCAGTAGATGGATTAGGAACAGTAGAGGAAGGGCAGGATCAGAGAATGTAGGATCAAACAGTCTTTTACATAATGTGGAGGATTTACCCTTTAGGTTCCACAGTGAGTAAACTTTCATTATTTGTAATAAACACAAGTATAAACGTTAATTTTCCGAATGATCTGACATACTTGATGGATGTTTCAGCAGTTGTTCTTTGTTAGTTATCATCCTTGACATTTAATTAGAGTATACTCATGGCATTCTTTGAAAATATATATGTTTCAGATTCTATCTAGTTTTTTTAGTTTGACTGCAGCAAACAAACTAAATTTAAAATATGGTGGAGATACCCTACACAAGACAGAAGGAAACGGAATAAGTCTGTGAAACAGACAGGAAGCCATTCCACCACTGATCATGATATTGGGTTTGCCTACTTGTTATTTCAATACCTGATTGTTACCACAAATGTCAATGCATGATATACTCCTGGTTAATGCTGAGATGGCAGTCTGGAGAGGATGGCGGAGCCCTCTGGGCGTACTTGTATGACCGTTCATAAGATATGTACAAGGGCACAGTATCTAAGTCTCATGGAAGGACCCTTCTCTTCAAGCAAAGAATTATTTTCCCAAAAGAGCTTACATTGGGTTTTTTGTGCAGAACACTAAAAAATTCAGCTTTATTATACGCTCAAAAAAAATTAAAGGAACACTTTTTAACCACTTGCCCTCATGAGGATTTACCCCCTTCCTGACCAGGCCTTTTTTGCGTTACAGCGCTGCGTTACTTTAACTGACAATTGCGCAGTCATGCAATGCTGCACCCAAATTAAACTTATGTCCTTTTTTTCCAACAAATTGAGCTTTCTTTTGGTGGCATTTGATCGACTGTGCGTTTTTATTTTTTGCGCTATAAGCAAAAAAAGTCTGACAATTTTGAGAAAAAAACAATATTTTGGACTTTTTGCTATTAAACGTGTCCAGTAAACAAATTTAAAAAATCTAATTTTCGTCATAAATTTAGGCCAAAATGTATTCTGCAACATGTCTTTGCTAAAAGAAAAAATCCCAATACGTGTAAATTAATTGGTTTACGTGAAAGTTATAGCGTTTACAAATGGCGATATAGATATTGGAATTTTTTATTTATTTATGTTTTTACTAGTAATGGCGACTGGGCAGGAAGGGGTTAATGTGAGGAGCGATCAAAGGGTTAACTGTGTGCTGGGAGTGTTTTACTAGGGGGCGGGTGCTCGAGCTGACAGGGAGGAAGACTGTTTGTAAACAAAACAGTCTTCCTCCCCGTTGGTTATTGTCAGTAATCACCGGGCGCTGGTGGGTAAGTACCAGCTGGGACCCGGTGATTGACATCCGTGGGCGCGAATGGTGGCAAGGGTAGGGCGCATGCGCGGCTCACACATATGACTCGTGTGCGCCCCCTACCTAGAAATGCAAAATCACATATATATATGTAATTTTGCGCACAGGTGCCACCCTGTAGCAGTTTATCTGCTATAGGGCAGTCCTTAAGCGGTTTATCAGAGTATAACATCAAGTCAATTAAACTCCTGGGCTATTGATCTGGTAAGTTAAGTAGCAAAGGGGGTTGTTAATCAGTTTCAGTTGCTTTGTTGAT